CAGGGAATCTGATGCCCTCTCCTGACCCACATGCACATCAGATGTGTGTGCAGTGCACACATGCAGGCAAACACCCGTACACATAAAATAAAAATATAAATGTTTTTACAGCTGTACATGTGTGGTAGTGCACACTTGTAATCCCAGCGCTGGGGAGGCAGAAACAGGAGGATCTCTGGAGCCTGCTGGCCAGTGTAGCTATAGACTCTGTCTCAATAAACAGGGGGGAAAGCATAATTTTTGCTTGTGTGTGTGTGTGTTTGAGTACATGTATGCCATGGTACACAGCTTTCAGGGTTAGTTGTCTCTACTATGTGAACCTCAAAAATTGAAGTCAGGTGTCTTTACCCACTGGCTCATCTTCCCAGCCTTAAAACTCAGAACTTTATGCTAACTTTATGCAGGACTGGATCTGGTGGTGCACACCTGTAATACAATGCAGTACTCAAGAGACCTTTTCTTAAAAAGTAGGAAAAAAGGAAAGTGGAAATAATTTTTGAATGTCAGATATCTGATAAGTGACTCTAGTATATTGCTTCACAGCTAATAGGATGCCTGTAATTATTTCAAAGAATGTTTGTTAGGTTAATAGTTGGCAAAGATAGGGAGAAATCAAAACCTAGCTGCTAAAGGAATAGTAAAAGTAAATCAGCAACCAGTAAAGATTGGTAGCTTCTCCAATGACTAACAGTGCAGTCACGTAACTTCACAGTTTTCCTGAGGTATATATCCAAGAGAAATGAAGTCAGATTTTCACACAAAGATGCATACAAGAGGCTGCAGAGATGGTTCAGTGGTTAAATGTGTGTAATGCTCTTGTAGAAGACCCATTTGGTTCCTAGCACTCTTTGGGTTTTTTTTCTTTTTGGTTTTCATGCAACCCTTTTTGGTGTAACCCTGGCTGTCCTGGAACTCACTCTGTCAACCAGGCTGGCCTCAAACTCACAGAGATCCACCTGCCTCTGCTCACTGAGTGCTGGGATTAAAGGTGTTTGCCACCAGTGCCAGGCAGCTTCCTAGCACTCTTACCACGTGGCTGACACCTACCTGTAACTCCAGCTCCAGGAAATCCAATGTCATTGGCCTCCACAGGTGCCCACATACATACATACATACATACACACATCATTTAAACTAAATAAACTCCTTTAATCTCAGTACTTGAGGGGGAGAGGCAGCCCAATCTCTGTTGCATTCAAGGCCAACCTGGTCTACATAAGGATTAGTTCCAGGCACACAGAACTACAGTGTGAAACCCTATCTCTAGATAATAATGATAGAGCCAGGCATGGTCTACAGAGAGACTGTTTTAAAAAAAAAAGATATGATAATGTTAAGAATGTGAATGTGTTCACAGTATTATTTCCAATAGGCAAAAGGTAAAAGCAATCCATGTATCTATTAGTTAATAAACAGATACACTATAGTAATTAACTTATATATAATATTAACTGACCATTTAAGGTAATGGTGAGCCCTAAAAATATATTAAATAAAAGCATGTCACCAAAATAAGTTCATAATATAGGGTTCTACTTGTCTAAAATGTCCATAACAGAAAATGTATTAGTGTTTGCCTAACCCTGTGCTGGGGACACCTAAAGGCCACAGAGTTTCTTTGCAGAGTAATGGAAATATTTGGGAATTAGAAAGTGGTATAGTTGTACCGTCTTGGGAATGTACTAAAATATACTATTCTGGTTATTTTTATGTGCTATGTTTGTGCACTCTGATGAATTAGGGTTTTTTAACCATTCAGTTGTTCAGGCATAATCTTTTGAAGTCAAGATGAACTGACATCTTTGGATGTCCAATTATCCATGAGATTCCCGATTCCAGGCGGCTCCCATGGAAACTTAGTAGAGGGAAGGTGATTCACTCCTCCACGGTACTGAGCCAGGACGGCTGAAGCACGGCACAGGCAGCCCTGTAAGGCTCTGTTAAAGTGTAGCTCCTTTGCCCTCCAGCCAGCCAGTGCCACGGTACCCTGGGTGTCTCTATCATACATACCAGGGTTTTGTTTTGTGTTTCCATGCACGCATATTCCACCACATGGCACAGCTGAGTAAACACACAGCCTCAGCATTCCTCAGAGGCACTCAGGCACAGCACTCCTGGAGAGCCTTGGGCCCTGGAGTGGAGGTACAAGAACCAGCTGGTTAGTATGCATGAGGCCCCTCCAACAGCCACCTCCATAGTACAGCCTTCCTGTAACATCTGCAGACACACAGGCTTCTATTGTTCTCTGTACACCAGAGGTTCTGGTGACGTTCAAAACACACCTATGCACTAGACAGAGCATGTCCAAGATTGCCCTTCCAGAGCCTGGCCAGGTGCTTCCCACGTCTGGGCCTTGGCTTTATTGGTTGAGGAATGTATTGCTTTCCAGGTCAGGTGGACAATTTCTGATAAACATTTTTGTTGTGTTACTGGTTTTCATGGAACATAATCTAAGATACAATATGTATGCCCTTGCCTTTTCCAAGACAATGATTAACTCCTCCCTGCCTACTTGGTCCTTCTTCATCAATATAATAGTCAAATATAATGACATCTCAAGTTTCCTGTCACTCCTAAGACTAGCTGATTGCAGCTGGGAGGTGGTGGTGCACACTTTTAATTCTAGCACTTAGAAGGCTGAGGCAAGAGGATCTCTGAGTTCGGAGGCCAGCCTGGTCTACAAAGCTAGTTCCAGGAAAGCTAGGGCTGTTACACAGAGAAACCCCATAGGGGGTGGGTACAAAAAAAGAAAATGCACTTATGGGTGCTGGAGAGATGGCTCAGTGATTAAGAGCACTGACTGTTCTTCCAGAGGTCCTGAGTTCACTTCCCAGCAACCACATGGTACCTCACAACCATCTGTAATGAGACCTGGTGCCCTCTTCTGGCGTGCAGGCATACATGCAGCCAGAACACTATACATAATAAATAATCAACCAATCTTTAAAAAAAAATGGCACTTATAAAAGCACTGGTCGCTCTTCCAGGAGACCCAGGTTCAATTACCAGTACCCACATGGCACTCACAACTGTATTACTCTAGTTCCACAGGATCCGGCATCTCACACAGACATACATGTAGGTAAAACACCAATAATGCACATAAAATGTTTAAGGAAAAAAAACTGGCACTTATATTAGTAAATGTGATAAGGTTGCTATTCTTGGGGTCTACGGTCTACTCAGGCTGTCAGCTTTTACTTCCTTCCTGCTCTCCACTTTGTTCTAGAGTTGAGGTGATCAGGCAAGGAGTGAAGCTGGCTAATGCAGCAAAAAAAACTTACACGGAAGAAGCTTTTGCAGTCCCAGAGACACATGTTTGAATGCCTCCCTCTGCCCAGTGTCAGCATTCCTGTCTGCATCATAAAAACTAAGAGTATACTTTTTAGTGAAAGCATCTAATTTGAGTCTTCCTTTTGCTCATGTGGCAGAGAGGCTGAAGGAATGGAGATCGGCTCCCTCCTGCTTGGAGGCCAAGCCTCAGGCCCCGCCTTGGAGCCAGCCCAAGCCCCAGCACTCCCTTGAGCCCCATGTGCTGCTGCCAAGCACAGTCTGGAAGCTGAACTGCCACGTTCACACACACTCCTTTACGTTCCTCAAACAGTTGTTATTAATTTAGAAGAGCCTGAGGTTTAAACATTAACCAACGCTTTCCACTGAAATCACTTAGATATACATTTTTCTCCTAAAACTTGTTTTGCTGACATTAGTAATTATCTGTAAAGTACACCAGCCCACCCCAGCTTTGGAGTCTGGATGTTCTCTGTTGGTGGCTGCATGCATAGACGCTGGCAGCCTTGGTGTCCCATGCCAGCAGTGGCTCTCACAAGGGTATTCTGCATTCTCTGAAGGATTGTAATACATCTTTGTCCCCATGGAACCTTATTTGATGGACCCAGACTGCTTTAATCCAACCAGTCTCTACAGTCTAGAAGACTCTGCCATAGGTCCCAGCCCAAGCCCATGGTGACAGTGGCTCTCTGGCTGCTCCGGGGACAGCTGCACCTCATAGTCTTTGCTTGACTTAGTTATCACCCTGGGAAGCATTTCTCCTTCAGGCACTGAGGGGATCCATGCAAGGATTTTTCAGAGGTGGCCTTGAAACCATAGTATCTCATGATGGTGGCAACTTCATGTTTGTTCTTTACCCTGTAGTCTGTTTGCACAAGAGCAGACAAAAAGGGCCACCATTATGCACATCACTTATATTTGTCACCCATTCAGATACCTGGAAAACAAGCTTTGTTGTCATGGTGATATAAATCAGTACATCTGTTCTGATCTGCTAGCGCCTCCTAGGTCCTGCTGTGGACAACAAGTAGAGCAGTCATACTATCTGAGGAAATCATACCTACTCTAGAGTAGCAAACCTAGAAATCTGTGACGTTCAACCCACTCCTGTTCTCTTTAGACAGAGCACTGCAACCAGGAATGGTAGAGTTTCAGCTTTTCCCTGTCACAGTGGGGGCCTGATACCTCCACTATAGTGTGGGCACCTGGGTAGGGGCTGACCCCAGGTCAGGGATTCAAGGGCAGAAGCTCATCTGGATGAGTTGTGAGGATGGACAGGGATTCAAGGGCAGAAGCTCATCTGGATGAGTTGTGAGGATGGACAGGTTTGGTGCATCTGCTAAAGCAGGACAGGAGCCTCAACTCCAAAAGCTTTGCTGACAAATAAGTCTCCATTTTACAAAGCCCTTCAGACACTAGTTTGAGGGCTGAAGTGCTCGTCCAGGTCCTGAGAAAGAGTTGACAAGTTGCCCCAAGTGGTAGGCAGCAGAAACACAAATGAAATTGGAAATAAAGTTATATAGTGATATCATGAGATCTCAGGACAGGGACAGCCATGAGCTCCTGGGGTGGCAGAATAGGTCAGGACAGGGATGGGAACAGTACAGTGGGCACCACTTCAATCTCAGGCTCCAGAATGTTTCTCCTGGCTTTCAGGATGCTATGTCTTCTACTTGGATGAGACTGTAACCATTTATTTTCACATACAGGAGAAGTACCCAGACAGTGTGTACCTCTCAGAGGGCACCTGCTCCCACTGCATGGAGATCCGCAGTGCCAGACATCCAGGGTAAGTCTGTGCAGCATAAGTCCTGGAACCAGGACTGTCCATACATAGTAGAGGCTAAGAAACTACCTAGGGAGGACTGAAGAGTATCCCGTGCCGAAATGGGTGGAACACACCAGATACCCTCCAACAGTGGGCAGGTGGACTACTGTGTAGCCATGAGGGAGAGCCAAGGTAGGCAGCAGTGCAGGGCTGGAGCAGCTAATGCTGGCCTGGGGTAGCAAGAGGCATTTCTCTTCGGGGCCTTGGATGGCCAATAGAAGGCAGAGGTGTGTATCCGCTGGTACAACAAAGACAGCAATAGGAGGCCTGAGGTCACCAGTCTCAGAAGCCGAGACAGACAGGTGCACCTCTACATTGGGCACCCAAGATTCGTGGCAGTGCCCCCCACAGTCACTGTCACTCTGCCTCTGTGTTTCACATGTGCCATATGTGCTTCAGGGCCTAGACCCACAGCCTAACCACACCTAGTCTGCCTTCTTGCAGTCTTTCTCACACAGGCTGCTGGGCTGGCCCTTGTCATGTGGTTCACTTCTCACGCCTCACCCTCCAGTGAGGAGTGACGGCTACACTCGTGGCCTGAAGGTCTGGGCCTTCCATTCTGTCTGTCCTGCCACGTAGCACATGGCTGCCCCTAGAATAAGAGAGTTCCAACCATGAAGGAAGCGTGTGCAGCTTCCTACCTATTCCAGGTCATTTTCAGAGAGCATTACCACACTTCCGCAAGACCGTCCCCGTTACCTGTCCCATTACTTATCACGCTGATGTTTGCCAAGGTGTGGGTACAAAGCCTATTGTGTGGCCCAAGTTTCCACACTTTCTGATGGAACTGACCACGCACCTTCTTCTCTGTGGGGAGAGGTCTTCAGGAGGCGAGTATGGCCAGTAGAGACCACATGCCCAGAGGCTAATCTTTCTGGATTTCTGAATTTCAAGTTCAAACCTGCCTCTTTTTCAGGTTTGAACTGGTGATTGTTTGGAGGATACAAACCGATGAGGAAGGGAAGGTTTTCCCAAAGCTGGATCTTCTCACCAAAGTCCCAGAGCGAGGTAGGACTCTATGTACAGACACCCTTTCCATAAGACTTGTAAGTGGACCCAACAGAGCCATCTGAGTGTCTTATCTGGGTTTACATGGGAAGAATCAAAAGTTGAAACTGTCATTAATGTCCTTTGTAAATCACCTTTTAATATACTTTAATCAGTAACCACCCAAACAGGACACGAATGGGGACTACTGTCCTGAGGCCTTTGTAGGCTGTGTGGTGCAAGGCATTTTCTCTGTCTCAAGTTACAGGTGACATCACTCCTTGGGCTTCTCCACCCTGTCTCTCATGCATCCCACTGTGTGGCTGTTGGGAGAGGAAGGATCTTATTAGACAGACACTATAAGGTTTCTTACCAGGTGTGTTTTCTTCACAGCCCTGGAGCTGGACAAGAACAGAGTCATAGAAACTGCTCCTCTGAGTTTCCGAAGACTGCTAGGGGTACTTGGAGTTGAAGCTGCTCTTGACAGCCTGATAAAATTGCTTTGTGTGGAAAAAGACTAGTCTCCTGCTGGCAAGCATATAGGAATAAGATGCTGGGCTGAGGAACATGTGACTTACGTTAAGTATGAACATTTGCTCTTTTCAAACATGTTTTTTTGTGTGCACTAGTGATACGTTACACAGAACTCCCATAGCATAGAAATAAAGTTTTCCAGTATGTTAAAAGCATCATGTATACTGCTTTGTACAAATAAGTTTAACATTTGAGAAAGTGTTCCAAGAATGGTTGTCCATTCTCAAATATGTGTAAAAGAGCTCTGCCTCCAACCTCATATCAAGATGGCCCAAGACAGCGGGGGACACAGTCCAATCCAACACTACCCACCTTGTCTGCCACAGCGGCATCCCCCAGAAAGTCCTGACACTCCTGCTGGTCTCCTACAAAAGTAGGACTGTTTGACAGTGATGACTGCATTGCTCCCTTTACTTGGGAACTTCGCTGAAGACACGCCCACAGTCTGAGTGTGGTACATTACTATAATGCCAGCATACAAGAGCACCCCAGGGTTAAAGCCAGCCTTGGCTACATAGTGAGCCACTGTTTCAGAAAACAAAGACTAAAGTATACCTCCACAATAGACAATTGCCAAAGATGTACAAGGCCCTAGATGCGATCAATACCCAGCACCACAAAAGAACTACCCAGTCTAAAGCTGTATCATCTCAGTCTGAGCTGACATTTGCTGAGTGCCTCAGTTACCTGCTGTTACACTGTCAAGATGATGGGTTGGTGTGGGCATGCTGAACGAGGTAAGGAAAGCACGTGGGAACACAGTTGGACTGGAGCCCTGCCCACATCGACAGAGTGCTCCCTCTGCGTTCCTTCCCCCAGGAGAGGCTGCTTGTTTGTATCCACCTGTCTATACTGTTTACCTCTTGCTAAATAGTGAGTCTCCAAGAGACACCAGTGTCTGAGAAATAAGTTATGTGAAACTGCTCTGGGAGCCTGGGACCCAGCCATACCTGAGATGAGTACTGTGACATCAGGCATAACCATTACCACATACGCACGCACATGTACTCACGCACCACGCACTGCACCACACACATGCACGCACGCACGCATGCATGCATGCATGCAAATGGCTAGTCTGCCTCCAAACCAGTCAAAACTGAAGGCCGCTCTCCCCTGTACGTCCAGTCATGAGAACATGACTCAGGTGAAGGCTATACACACATATCCCAGCATACACTAGTCAAAAGAAAGGCAAAGATCCAAATGTACAAGTATCTTTTACCTGAGTGTTCAAAATAGTTAAATATTAGGGCAGAATTTAACAAATTCTATAGGAGGTTGCTTGATTCAAACAAGTATAATTCTCAAATTATCACAAAATTTCCCACAAAAGTTTACAATCAGCAAAATATTTTCTTCATTTTTCATGTAGCATTTTCATACAGTTCCATGGTTTTTACTATGTTACAATAAGCCTTCATTAGTCTCTCAAAAGGATGATATAAATAATCAGTCTGTACAGCCTACCATAGGATAAAAAATGAAGCCAAAACTCCCAATGATTTCATAGCAGCCAGGCACACTTTTGGTGACCCCAATAAGAATCCTCAAGTGCCAGCTAGGAGCCTTTATAGCCCTGATGAAAACAGCAAGGCCCTAGACCCAACACGTCCCAGAGCTAACCCCGGGGATGAATGTGGCTCAGAAGGAAGGGAACCTTGTTCCTCAACCATCCGACATACCAGAGTGCCAGGAAAACTCCAGGCTGTCAGGCACACCCACCCAGCTGACCGAAGCAGCTCTGAGTTACAGCCCTGCTCCTAGCCTCAGCAGCAGCAGCAGCAATTTCAGGTAGGAAAAAAAACGCCTCAGGTCCCCCTAGAGTTAAAATCATTAAAGAAGAACTTAAAAAAAAAAACAAACAAACAAAAAATAGCAAGGCTCATGCGAGTGAGTGGTGTCCATCCTGACCTGAGTCTTGTGTTCCCTGCTGCTGCCCCTTTAAAGCCATGGGCTTCAGTACCTCCACAGGGACCTGAGGCTAGACCACTCAGAACCAATGTCCACACTAACCCTGACCGCTCTGCAGCAGGGACCCACCCAACACCTGTGTTGATGTGTGACTTGCATTGAAAAAGTGACCAGTTTACAGCTGAGAAAGTTCCAGTAGTATCCATGTTTTCTTGAAAATCCACACTGTAAGATACTCGTGACAATTCAAGTTCTCTATGTCAAGAGTCTGGTAGGAGGAGATCCAAACCTTGGGTCTTAATAATAAGGCTTTTGCATTAGAGAATTAGACGTGAGTTCTGCTTGGAAGAACTACCCGGGATGTTTTCCTGGGTCTTAACGGACACTTCCACTCTAGAAAACAGATGGCTTGCTGGGACACAGCACTCACGTCCTACATTCCTTGTCCTAGAAGATTCTAGTGCTCTTCAGTTCCTTGTCTCTGAGAGGCAGTCTAACCTCAGCAGGGGTTAAAAGCAAAAACATTCACAGCCAAGTCACCCAACACAACTGAAAATAGCTCTGTCATTCAACATTCACATTCAAGTTTCAAAGACACCGCAGGGGAAAGTTAGACCTTGTGGAGAACTAATGTGCAATCTTCACGTTCCTTGAACCGAGTCGCCCTGACAGTGTCGTCTTTGGCATGCACAGTCTTTGAGTAATAGTTGACTATTTTGCTGTCTAGTTTATACTGATGAGGAATGCTCTCGTAGGGCTTGAGGTCCAGGTCCAGTACAGACACAGAGAAGGTCAGCCGGGACCTTGATGAAGGGATAACAGGTCTCTGGTCAGAGCTGCAAGTAACAAAAGAATTTCAGGTTATACAGACCCTCAGATGCACCCATCCCGGCTCTCAGAGCACCCATTCTGTGTCTGTGTGCATTTTCTGTCTGTGCCAGCTTCACACACTAGCACAGGTAAGTGACTGCGAGGCCACAGGCCAGCACACTGTCTGGGAAGGGTTAACAGAACACAAGGTGGAAAAGCCATTATGTGGAATGCGTGACTGATATTCCCCATGCTCTAGTGGTATTAAGAATGCTGGAAAAATCACTTTATTGTGAGCCAAGTATTACAAAACCTAAGAAAAAGTAAAAAGTAGATGAGGCTGTACGGCAGCCAGATGGATGACTGCTGAGAACAGACCCTCTTTATGCGCTTTTCCATAGCTGCTGAGAACCAGGTCCTTCGTGCTTTTCACATTTGCAGAGCAAGCTGGCTTTGTGTTCGCTCTCAAGTCACATCATCAGTGCTTTTTGTCTCTTGGGGCCTCTGGGTTTTATAAACATCAGAAAGTCATGTGCTTCTAACAATATGAACATTGCCTTGAAAACCTTTTCAGACTAACTTCAAATCTGATACTGAGGTTGCAGTGTGTCCAAGTGTTCTGAAAACACAGTACTATTGCCTGAATGGCATCTAATCCCAGGCTGGTACAAGAGAAATGTTAGGGAGTTCCGGTTCCTCCATGCTCAATACTCTTGTGGATTTAGAAATCATTAAAAGGCCGGGCGTTGGTGGCGCACGCCTTTAATCCCAGCACTCGGGAGGCAGAGGCAGGCAGATCTCTGTGAGTTCAAGGCCAGCCTGGTCTTCAGAGCGAGTGCCAGGACAGCCTCCAAAGCCACAGAGAAACCCTGTCTCGAAAAAAACCAAAAAAAAAAAAAAATCATTAAAAACAAGACAGACAAAATTCCAGTTCAAAAACCTCCTGAGTTGGAAGGACACGCACACAGTCATGCATGGCCTGTTCTAAAGTACACTAGGACACGCACACAGTCATGCATGGCCTGTTCTAAAGTACACTAGGACACGCACACAGTCATGCATGGCCTGTTCTAAAGTACACTAGGACACGCACACAGTCATGCATGGCCTGTTCTAAAGTACACTAGGACACGCACACAGTCATGCATGGCCTGTTCTAAAGTACACTAGGACACGCACACAGTCATGCATGGCCTGTTCTAAAGTACACTAGGACACGCACACACAGTCATGCATGGCCTGTTCTAAAGTACACTAGGACACGCACACACAGTCATGCATGGCCTGTTCTAAAGTACACTAGGACACGCACACAGTCATGCATGGCCTGTTCTAAAGTACACTAGGACACGCACACAGTCATGCATGGCCTGTTCTAAAGTACACTAGGACACGCACACAGTCATGCATGGCCTGTTCTAAAGTACACTAGGACACGCACACAGTCATGCATGGCCTGTTCTAAAGTACACTAGGACACGCACACAGTCATGCATGGCCTGTTCTAAAGTACACTAGGACACGCACACAGTCATGCATGGCCTGTTCTAAAGTACACTAGGACACGCACACAGTCATGCATGGCCTGTTCTAAAGTACACTAGGACACGCACACACAGTCATGCATGGCCTGTTCTAAAGTACACTAGGACACGCACACAGTCATGCATGGCCTGTTCTAAAGTACACTAGGACACGCACACAGTCATGCATGGCCTGTTCTAAAGTACACTAGGACACGCACACAGTCATGCATGGCCTGTTCTAAAGTACACTAGGACACGCACACACAGTCATGCATGGCCTGTTCTAAAGTACACTAGGACACACACACACAGTCATGCATGGCCTGTTCTAAAGTACACTAGGACACACACACACAGTCATGCATGGCCTGTTCTAAAGTACACTAGGACACACACACACAGTCATGCATGGCCTGTTCTAAAGTACACTAGGGCTTTGATTCTCATTTGTTGCTCTAGATTCCTGTTTATAAGAAAAATTGATTTGGAGTCTGTCACAGGTCTGACAGGTGACCACAAGCTTCAGGACAGACAAAAGCACAGGCCAGTACACCAGCCTCTTACCCCTGAAAAGCTTGTCTCCTTCAGACCATATGGCTAAAGACACAGCACAAGTCAGGGCACAGTTATCCCTCCTGCCATTACCACATACATATCCCTGTGGTAGCCCTGGAAACTGGTACTGGAATGATCTGGGGGCTGCAGAGCTGCTGTCTTCACCTTGAGAGCTGTTTGTAATAGACATGGCAGGATTTAGGGACAAGTAGCAATAAGAACTTTCCTGGTAGTTCCAAACCCTTCAAAGGCCTGCAGCAAAAGGAAGAAACTCAAGAACTCAATTCTGATAGAAACAAATGGCAGCCACACAGGCTTGTGGACTGTACATTAGAATTCAGGGATAT